ACAGACTTCGCACGACTCACAATAGCGGGTGGCGTCCTTGAGAAGGTCGGGCCAATAGAACCGCTGGCGAAGTCGGCCAAGTGTACGGTTGACACAAAAATGTCCGGAAGTGGGCGCATCGTGAAACTCGCCAAGAAGCCGTGTGCGCAAGTGTGAATCATTCGGCACACAAAGAAGATCCTTACCCCGTGAATGCACAAGTAAGTAGCCCTCTTGGATCCGATAATGCGAAGCCACTGGATTCGGAGAGAAGCAATTCGCGTCCTTGTCGCGAAAGTGGGGGTCGGCTTGATAGCCGCGGATGAAGCTCTCCCGCAAGTCGTCGTTGATCTCGAAGGTAGAGTAAACTGCGGTGCAAGGATCCGGTCGCCGTGAGAGGGCATCCGCAAAACGGTTTGACTTCTCGGGAATGTGATCGGGGAAAAAGTCAAACTGGTCGATGAAAGTCATCCAACGGGCAATGGTACTGTTAATCGTGTCTTGCGACTTGTAGAATACCAACGGATTGTTATCCGTTACCCAYCGGAATGCTTTCCGACCAAGGAGGAAATGTCGCCAACGCTTGAGGGCGTGGACGAAGGCAAGAAGCTCCTTCTTCCGTGCGTCATCGATCGAATGAACGGGAGGTACTTTCTTGCTAAAGTACTCGACCGGGTGCCACTCTGTGCCATCGTGCTGCTCAAGGACGGCCCAAATGCCATAGCCCGACGCATCGGTAGTGACGCTCGTAGCTAGAAGCGGGTCGTAAATATGTAACACCTCGGCGGACAAGAGTGCCGCTGTGAGTGTCTTAAAAGAATGGCGCGCGTCGCGTCGAAGTCAAAAGACCGCTCCTCGCTATGTAACTTGCTTAGGTTGACCTCGATCTTCGAGTAACCCTTGATGAAGCACTGATAATAACCGGCCAAGCCGAGGAAGGATCGGACGTCCGTCACATTCTTCGGCTCGGGCCACTCCTGGATGGCTTGAATCTTATCCGCCAACGGACGAATGCCTTCCGGAGAGACAAAATGACCCAAGTATTCAAGCTCTTGCCGGACAAACTCGCATTTGTCGCGGTTAGCTTTGTACCGGGCTGACCGAAGAGTCTCTAGAACACGGCGAAGGTGCTCSAGRTGCTCCTCTAGAGTTCGGCTATAGACGAGGATGTCGTCTAAGTAGACCAAAACGAAGCGGTCCAACATAGCGCGAAACTCGGTGGTCATGGCCGCCTGAAAGGCGGCCGGGGCATTGGTGAGGCCAAAAGGCATAACTACCCACTCAAAATGCCCATATCGCGTCTTAAACGTGGTTTTGTACCGATCTTGCGGGCGGATGGAAATCTGATGGTAGCCCGACTTGAGGTCCAACTTCGAAAAGTACTTCGCGCCGCCCAACCGCTCAAGCAAATCGTCAATGCGAGGTAGAGGCCCCGCGTTCTTGATGGTTTGCGCGTTGAGGCGTCGGTAGTCAATGCAAAATCGAAGGTCCTTGTTCTTCTTCCGAACGAAGAGAACGGGCGCACCGTAAGGTGAGCTGCTAGGGCGGATCCAACCCTTGTCGAGTAGATCGTCGAGTTGCGCACGGAGAACCGTGAGCTCCTCCTCGGACATGCGATAAATGCATCCTTTCGGTGGCACGGAGCCGGCCTCAAGTATGATCTCGTGAGAGATTCGCCGGTCCGGCACTATACCGGAGGGTGTCTCAAAAACATCCGAGAACTCGTCTAACAACCGGGTCACACAGGGGTCGGAAGACTTCTGTGGACGATGAATCGGTCGTCGGGACGGTTCGAAGCAAAGCGATGCCAATCTCTTCGACATGCTCGGAACGACATGTGTCTCGAAAAGATTTGGCACTCACGACTTGGCACCTAATGGAAGAGCGAGGAGGAGGAATAGTACACGGGACCTCGACGCCAATTGTATCACGAATCGTGAGCGTGTGTCGATGGAAATTGACCGTGTGGTCCGCGCTAGAAAGCCAAGGCATCCCCAAAAGGACATCGAAGTCGGTGTCCAACACGTCAAAAGTGACGGGTTCACATGCGTGCGGTGCAAAGTACACCGGGACAGCCGAGATGTAACGGTCTAAAAGCTGTTTCGTCTTACCGTCGGCAAGAGCGACCGTCGTCGGATGTGACTTCGTCGTCGGATATGCGGTACATAATTAATAACTCGTTAAAAATTGTTCAAAAAATAATAAAATATTTTAGTCCCCGAAATAAAGTGAAAACAAAAAGTTAAAAGTGAAAAAAAAAACAAAATAGTGAGTGGGCGAGCACGTTTTGACACCCCCCTCTTTGACGATTTTTACTGTTTTTTTGGCTTAGCAGAATGGCTTCAAAATTTATAGGCGTATAGGTTACATCATAGAGAACTCACAAAAAAAATTCAAAAAAAAAACTTATTTTTAGGCTCCGAAATGTTTTTTGGCGGGGGCCGAACCTGGAGGTGTTCGGCCCCCGAACGGGACCCCGAACGCCCGAATGTTCGAGGGCCAGCCTGGGGCCCCCCGAACGTTCTCACCGGTGTTTTGTGCGGACATTTTACACTACTCGTGTGCTAGTGGAACCGTGCCCCTTGAGTCTGGGACAAATCAGAACCCGTGAAAATAATTTTTCCCTGGTCTTATTCAAAAAAAAAAACACAGAAAGGAAAAGTAAGATAAAGGGGCTCGTTCGACAGTCCTCGGGCGCGTAAATCCCTCGAGGAAATCATCGTTCCACCTATCCTCGGGGAAGAAAACGAAAAAAAAAAGTGAAAACAATTCCTCGGGGAATCCTGGGGGCATCCTCGGGCTACAACCATTTTGCGACGTTCCCCAAGGGACCTCCCGAGGTCCCTTGGAAGTCAAGGATCCGCGATAATCGGAGCGGTGATGGCAGCCCTTGTCGACGACAAATTTTCTGGCGTCCATTGGTGTTCCTACCAGCCACTTCACAGACATCTTCTGTCGCCAACGTTCAGCATCACGGATATGTCTGCCAACGGTAATCGTTGGCGGCCTACTGGCCTCCACGAGATGGAGAAGGGGGTGTTCTCCCTCGCCGCGCATTCCCCCAGGTAGGAAAGGGTCCAACGGTCCGCAGATTCGAGAACTTCAGCCGGCTCGTGCTGCCCCGACTGGCCAGTGTCTTCCGTGATGGAAAGCGTTAGAAGTCGTCTGTCCCTTGCTGCGGTCGGCCGTTTGCATCCCTCTTCGTCGCCGTTTGGTGAAGGTGTACCATCGTCGTCGAGCTGCTGCCGTCATCCACGTGCCTTTCATGGCCGACGTCTTCCGAAGGTTGTCGTTGTTCTCATGGCCATCCTTTTTTTTTTTTTTTTTTTTTTTTTTTTAAACAAAGGCCCAGTGCCCAAGGCTCATATTATAAATTTGAATACACTGCAGACAGACGCCTCTTCCCCTTAGGGCTGGAAGAGCCTCAACCACTGCTCCCATAGAGACAGCTTTCATGTACGACAAGAATGAAGATTTAAGCGCTGAGCATTGATTGCTTCCCCAGGAGGGAAGGATTAACTCAGCCCCATGGACAATCGACTTCTGCCCTACTATAGTGGACCACCAATGATCAGTCCCTACAAAGCAAGATTTCGGGGGGGATATAGCAGTGCAAAGCAATCGAGCACATCCCAGGTCCCAGTCACAAACCCTAATTGAATATGACCCACAGTAAATGAACTCAAAGCTTATCAAGAGAGGAAGAATTCAGCAATCAAGGGAAATCAACACTCATGAAGGGGAGGGGGAGAGAGAACAAACACAGAGACCAAAGGCACTGCCTCCCAACCCCTTGCTACAGCCTCTCACCCCCCCCCGAATCCCACGGGAACAACTCATCAGCACGCCACCCCACAGCGCCTCGCCAGGTCGGCATCCTCCCATGCACAGCAAAACTTTCAAAAAAGAACCCTCGGCTACCCTTCGGCCCCAACAGGCCACACTCCAACCCCAACAGAGTCTCCCACAAAGAAAGGATTGGAAGAGACTGAGTAGCACTCACCATAGTGGTTGTCGCATGTATAGATGTTGTTGGAAGTTGAATTTCAGATGTCATCGTTAATAGCACCGTTGTTGTCGTTGGATTGATCGTTGATGTTGAAGATCTCTTCCTTATGAGCCTTGTTGATATAGATGAAGAAGTTATCATTGTTGTTGTTGTATTTGGATTGATCGTTGATGTTGAAGATGTCTTTGTCATGAACGTTGTTGATATAGATGAAGAAATTATCGTTGTTGTTGATGTTGAATTTGTTGTCAATGCCTTCATCATATCCACTGTCAGCGCCGATGAAACTGTTGTGTGAATTGTCGATGAATCGAATGTCGATACATCCCCCTCTACCGGCAGTCGTGTTGGCCTTGCTGTCAACGCTCGTTCATTAGCCTCTCCAGCCTGTCGCGTTGCCAACTCAGCAGACAATTTATCCCCCTCTTCATAGAGCTCATAACATTGATGCATGAACTCATCCGCCTTCTGCCAGTCAAGGAGATGTTCCCAATACGGATCAGGTCCCTCCTCTAATTCCCAAAGTACCTCCATCATTCGTTGTAGCATGCCTCTCTCCATGTAGTCATTGAGATCGCCCCCCGATCGACCTCTGACCAATCTTGGGCTGCCGAAGATAGAAGAAGCACCATCTCTTGCAAACGGCGCTGGCCATCCTGCAGAACCAAAAGCCAAGTGTTCGCAGCATGTTGTAGATCTCTGTATAAACCCATCTCCATACCCAGTCGCCGCTAGCTTGTTCAACTTTGTTATCTTCACTCCCATTTGTAGCGCAAGGACGCCCTCCGTTCGTTGACCGCTCGGAACGATGCACCGAGTATATCGCCACCCTCTTTCCTTCCCCCTATCCCCACCCTTTACGGCATATCTCGCCGCCACTATCGCCGAGTTCCTTCCATTCTCAACCTCTATCGACGATGGCGCCCACCTCTCGCCCCGGCCTTGTTGAGCTACCACTCTCCACAGCGATGACGGCAACGTCGTTCGTCCGCCTCAGTACCACCGAGGTTTTGGGTACCTTGACCGCCGGGCCTGCCGACCGGTAAGATCCCCACGCGCTCGCGCTCCGTTCCATCCATGAATTTACTTGCCCTTGTCGTTGCCTTCCACGTTTGCATCCTCCGCAGGGTGCCCGGACATACACGTAAGAGACAGTCTGCGAAGAAGGAGGTCAGCACGGAGGGGCGGCCGACGGTATCCATCGCCAAAACAGGTGAACAACAAGAGGGATGCTTCACCCATGATGGCAAACTCCACTCACGCTCCGCCACACTACGAAGAACCAGCAACTTACAATGACAAACTGACGCTGTCTTCCGAGCACGTACATGACGATGACGAAGGTCTGCCTGCGTAGGCGGCCACCCAGGACGACCGCGATGGCGCCTTCACGGGGGACGTCTTCCTGCACCGTAGACGGAACCACCGATGCCGAGCCGCCGCCCCGCACTGGAAAGCTCTGTCTTTTCGGATGTTGCCCACCGTCTGCCGCAGCCACACGTGTAGTCGTCAACGCCACTCCCACAGCGGCATTCAAAAAAAATTGAATTTTGAAACGAGCGATCCGCGCCTTTTTTTTTTCATTTTTGGAGGCCCGCCGCCGACATTCGAATTTTGCCGCAGACCACAACTGGACCAATGACGTCCACACGGACAAAAGGCAATGGACCACCGATGCCCCCCCCCACGTGTCCACCTATCACGTTATTAAACTGGCTGCAGACGGGCCGAAGGAAACGTCCTCGGGCGACCATTCCGAGGACGAGTGGAACGACGGTGGGAAATTCCTCGGGCGACCCAAAGGAAAACTCCTCAGGCCTCAAGGACGACCCGAGGAGTGTCTAACGAGCCCCAAAGAGGTGCATCAAAATTCTTGGTGTCGTGCGATCTGCCAACGGTCGTGCAGTGTCACGCTCGTACTCATCTTGCATGTGTATACCTTACCCACCTGCTAGCGGCCTAGCTCGGTTGGGGTCAAGAGCAACCCCCTCGAGTTCCCGATTATATTTTTCTTCTGGAGTCTGGGACAAATCAAAACCCCGTGAAAAAAAATATTCTTCTCATTTTTTATGGCTTTATTCGAAGAAAAAAAACACAGAAAGGAAAACTGAGATAAAGAGGTGCATCAAAATTATTGTTGTCGTGCGATCTGCCAACGGTCGTGCAGTGTCACACTTGTGCTCATCTTGCACGCTTATACCTTACCCGCCTGCTAGGAGCCTAGCACAGTTGGTTAGGCACGCAAGTGGCATTCAAGAGGTTGTGGGTTCGAGCCCCACAACCGCCTGCGGCGCATTTAGTGCCAACCGACGGGGATAGTACGCTTGATGCCTTTGATCAGTAATAACAGGGTCCTTGGCCAACACGGGTGGGAGTGTGAGTGTGAGTGGGTTGTGTGGGAGAGTGTTGGCCTTAGACACTGCTGTTATTCGGTTGGGGGTGGGGGACGATGAAAAGGGAGCTGCAGCTACTGGTAAAATGCTCGATCTTTGCGTTAGCCGGACCCCCACCGGCAGCCCCACCCCATCCTTGACCACTATGGTTGGGGCGGGGGACAACATGCATCCCCTCTGATGGCTGGAGGGAGACAACAAAGCTATGTTTGCAGGGGTCCCCTGTCTAAGCCTTACGAGTAGTGCTAGGTAGGTAGTGAAGGTGAATTGAAAG